TGAGGAGCAGCTGCCCGAGGAGTGGCTGTGCCCCCTGAAGGGCTACAGTCTGCACTTTGCCACTCGCTTCTGCATTCCCTCAGCTGGCCTCACTTACACAGCTGCCCACCCCGCTGTCTGCATCTGAGTTTGCAGCCAGGGTTGTAGGTCAGGGGACCGTGTGGGTCTGACTTACAGGGCGGGATGCAGCTCTGCTTCGACTGATCCTGAACTTCAGTCTGAGGCTGAGCTGCCCCGCCAGCAGGAAATAGGAACTGGGTAGAGGACTTTCTAATTCCCAGAACCACAGTGAGGGCCTGCTGCTTCCACTTCAGGATTGGGTTTGAAGTGTTGTGAATTCCCAGCACATCACACACACCCACATTCAACTGTGGGTCCAAAAATACCTTCCACAGCCAAAGAGAGATGATTTTTACATTCCCCACTACCTTGGATTATCTGCCTCGCTGCTCTCTGCCACCCCCGCCGTTGGCCCAGCTGATGAGCAGTGACTGGAAAGGGATGCCTCGCATGGGGGCTCCTGCAAATCCAAGCGAGCGGCTGTGCCGGGCACGGAGACCTCACTTACCCCAGAAATAGAGGTCCAGGTGGGCCTTAGGAAGGCCGGGAGGCCCCAGGCCTGTGGTGTCTGGGAGACGGAGCAGGATGGGGGTGGGGCTGGGGGCTCTCATTGCTGAGGTTGGAACTGAGAATCATGATCGCAGGCTCTAAGGGCAGCAGCATGAAGAAGTGGCTCCAGAACTCCGAGTGGAGTGGGATGCAGGGCGGAAGCCCTGGGCGGTGGGAGACGAACTGAGCTGGACTGAGCCTTGGACATGGGTGAGGAAGAGACCTGGGAAGCCGCCCTGCTCTGCACGCCTGCAGCTGGAGAGAACACTAAGCCCCCGCCCCCACCTTCCTTCTTGAGGGAGCCCTCTCTCCAGCGGCCCCCTACGGAGGTGGGAAGCAAGCTGGCAGAGAGCACACACTCCGGCATCAAACGGACCTGAGGGCAGATCCCAGCTCAGCCACTTACCATGTGACTCTGGGCAAGAGACTCAACCTCTCAGTTTTCTCACCTGTCAAACGTCAAAGCCTATTTTATAGGCATATGGTGAGGATAGAATGAGATAACGTTTGTAAAACAATTAGCACATTGTCATAGAATAAAGAACACAACAAAGCTCAGATACAATTGTAAGTATTGGAGAGCAGAGGCTGTATTTCACTAGAAGACCTGGTATCTGGGATTTGCCAAGTTGGGGTCCTTTGGTGAGGAAAATGGATTCAGATATAAGCATTAATAAGTGAGCAGAAGACCATGGAATTCTCAAAAAGAGGGGTTCCCCAAAGAGAGGCAGTGTCTTCCTCCAGTACTTGAAACCCGTGACATTTATTAAGGCCCTTGATAAATGTTGGTTCATGGAGCAGAAAAGATGCAAGAATGTCCAAACAGTGACGGGTACCAGAAACTCATGAGGCCAAGGAGCGGTGCCCTTAGAGGTGCGGTGATGCAAGGCGACCCCTCCCCTCTCAAATCCAGCTGCCCTGGGTGGGGAGGAGCTGTCTTATCTGGGACCTGGGGGAACGGAGAGGATGACCTCACATGTCCACACAATGCATTACTGACGTCGGGAAGGCTCAGATTTACCTGATTTTCCATGCCCTTTCTTACAAAGAAATGATATTCCAGCATTTGGTGTGGGGGTTGGGATGGGTACATAATAGTGCAAACAACTGCCCTTCCACACTTCCAATCTAAGAGGCACAGAACTGGGGACTGGACCCTCAGGCCCTTTCATCCCACACCCCACCCCACTGCCAGGTCACCCCTAGGACCAGCAACCCCTCTGACTCAGGTTCATTGCTTCTGGGAAGACCAGCCCTGAAAAAAGGGCCTGGGGTGGAGGATTAGCATCCATGCATTTCCTATTCCCTCCAGCTGTGTAAATTGTTTAGCAGAGAATAAAGCAGACTGTAATTACCACAATTGTAACAAGAGGGGAGAGCCCGATGCAGAGTTTAATCCAAATTAAGCTGTGAAGGGGAGATACACTGTCGCCCAGGCCCTTTCTACACTAACACTGAGTCTGAGAGCGTGGATGTCCCTGGGGGCCCACCCTGATAATCTGGTGACTTGGAGACTGATTGGTTTTTGGACGTACAGCTTTCCAGAAAACGGAGAGAATTCATGCATTTCCTTAGAGGTGCGGGGGGAGCATTGAGGAGATCAGGAGACCAGGGAGGATGAGGGTGCAGACCCCAGCTCTGGTCTGGGCTCCAGCCCTAGAGGGGCTTGAGGACGGCCTGTCCCTCGCTTTGTCTTGCATACAGGCGAGGAAGCAGAGCCGTATGCCAAACAGGAGGTGTGTGTTCAGTGTTGACCCAGCTAGCTCACTGCTCCCCCTACCTCCTTGCCAGGCCCTCCGCGGAGGCCTCTTAAGGCAGGTTCCCTGGCCGAGCTGAACCAGGATCCTCATGCCAGGGGTTGCCTGGGAGTGCCCTTGTGAAGTACCTGGGAGCATGAGGGAAAACAGGACAGAGCCATGTGCGCTGCCAGGGGGAAGTCTGCCAGACCCCACCAGGAGCCCTGGAGAGTGAATTGCTGCACAGAAGTTGTTACACCCGAGACAGTGGGCTGCGCTTTTATGCTCTGGCATCAGCCAGGGATTGGCCATTAGTCTCCCAGGCACATCTCTGTGAGGAGCCTGCCCTAGGCTGAGGGCTGGCCTCTTGAGAAGGTTCCTGGGGGATGGGCGCATTGGCCCAGGAATGGGGGTCTGGGCAGGGTGCCAATAGCACCTGCTACAGAGCTCATTCACCCCTACATTTGCTCTCTCCTCTTTCTCTCCTATGAAACGCCACATTAATTAAACTCAAAAAAGTTCCTCACATACTTCTGAAGACTTATATATAGGTCATTTGTGGGGTGACTGGGGAGGGAGGAGTTTAGTTCTTTTCTGTCCTGAAGTCTACAAGATTATACTCAATAACATTACAAATACTTGCTAATAATACTACAATTATACTATAATTGTATAATAATACTACAAATAATTTCTGGGGTAGTTCTCCCAAGACAAATCACATTTAAAGGCTTTGTTTAATAAACATTCTTACAAGGAACTTTCATGCTGATTTTTCACAAAAGCACTAGGACACTGATTTTATTATTATTATTCCCATTATACAAATTGTTGCTCAGAGTGGCTTAGAGTTTTATTTAAGGTGACATAGCTAGTCAAAGTAGTCCATTTCTAATAGTAAAATTTCAGGTAGTACTACAAAATCTGGGGACTATTCTTTTGAGGGGCACTCTTTCCTGAGCTGCTCTTTAAATCGTCAACCTCTTAGCACCCCTCCAAAGCATCAACTGCCAATGAAAATATTTGTTAACTACCTTCAGTGTTCAAAACCCTGGTAGTTTCTGTGGGGCCTTAAAAGGATTGTGGCATCTTAAGGGGCTTTCAGTCTAACCAGGGAATCAGATATATAACAAATGGGGGGTTTTGATCAAATGTCAAATAAGATAGTAGGTGGGCATCATAGGAACTGGGTGTGTGTGGGGGCAGGGGGCTTCTGAAGGGGAGATGTATTCCAGGCTGACCTTCAGAAAAGGGTAGGTCTTCAGTCAGCTAGATACAAGCTGCTGCCACAGTCCCTTCCAGCCACTGGTTGTCCCTGGAACACCTGTGCCAAGAAGTGCCACATCCATCCATTCACGTATTCCTTTACACAACACGTCAGCTGAGCTCCCAGTCCACGCACACTCTGTGCTTGGCTCTGGGGAGGCTGTGATGAGAGGGCTCCCTGTAGAGGTCACCATCTAGTGCAGATGTGCCCACACTGCTGTCAATTTGAGCAATCCAGGCTGGGAAATGCTCAGAGCTGTAGCATCTCCTCTTGACTTCATTCAACTCTAATTAAACAGGTGGTCAACTCGTTATCTCCCTGGAGAGAATAGGTTTTACAAGAGAGAACTTATCACTTAGGAATATGTTTGGCTGCAAGTAACAGAAAACACCACCTAAATTACTTTAAACCTAAGGACGTATTTAATCACTTGATTTGAGGTTTGAGGTTTGGAGGTGGCCTCAGTGGTTTAGTCTTTGCTCACTGGCTCAACAACACCAGGATGTTCTGTTATCTTCTTGGCCTGTCTCTTACAGTGCTAAAATGGCTGCTGTAGCTCAAGACATCACATTTCTCTGCAAGGCAGGAAGGTGACAGGAGGGGAGGGGTTGGTGCCAGCTGAGTCTATTTTCTTATAAGGAAAGTAATGCTTTCCCAGAATCTGTAGCCAACTTCCACTTATTCTTCATTGGCCAGAACTATGCACATGCCCACCACTAACTGCATGAGAGGTTGGGAAGCACCCACCTGGGTCTAGGAGTGTAATGCATAACATGAGGGTCCCTTATCGAGGATCATGGGGAGATTAATATCAGGGAGGCAACCAATAGTGTTGTGGAAAGGAAAGCTGTGGACTTCCTTGTGCAATCCCAGGCACTGAGCTCCTGCCCCTTGTTCCTGCCCAAGGAACATCTGGACTACTCTGCTGAAGCGTAAATGTGCTTCCTCCTAGCCTGTCCTCTTCCCCTTCAGCCATCACCGCCCCTCCCCTGCCCTGCCTCCAGCCAGGACCTCCCATCTCATTTCCTGCATCTGCCCACCTGGTTTCTGCTTCAGTTCTACCCATGATGCAGCCCCTCTGGGAAAGGAAATCTGGAGGAAGGATGGAAGAGGAGGGAAGGTGTTAATTAAACACCAAATGTTGAAGTCTGGTAATTAATGTCTCCATCACCCTTTTCTGTCTCCTTAATCCTCACCATTCTCTCCCCTCTAGAGGCCTGAATATGAAACTGAAGAGGCTCACATTGGTCAGTGGGCCCAAGCCCAGCAGAGGGAAGAAGGAGAAAGTGGCCCAGGGAGACCCAGAGGAGGTGGTTCTCTTGTCTAGGAGGGAGCATGGACATATTAGCAGACTGGCACTGGAAACAGAGAGAAAGAACAGTGGGAGAGAGGCTGAAGCCCTGAGGTCACAGACTTGTTTTATTTGGTGCATACAGGGATTTCAAAAGGTGCAAGTAATTGCCAGCATTTTTTAAAAAGGGAATTCCAAATAAATCTAGATGTATAGACTTCATTTAAAAATGGACAGATCTGTGCCCACGTCCTGAGAAGGCAACAGTCAGCTGGGGAAGAGGAGAGCTGAGTCACAGCTGTCCTGTCCAGATGGGGCATGTCCCCTTCCACCACCCCTGCCCCTCCCTGGGCACTTAGCTCATGTGTCACCTGCTGGCCCTGAGCACTTCCGGCTTTGCAACCCACTGTAGAATTACAAGTGCCAGGACCTAACAATGGGTTTGATGAGGGCAGTGAGGGAGAGGGGAGCCTGGAAATGCTGAGATGGGAGTCAGGATGCCTGGGAGGATTTTAGTTCCATTGACAGGAATGGGGGACGTGGGAGGAGTAGGTCAGGGAGAAAGAGGACAGAGTAATTTGGCTCAGGCGGCAGTAGACAGGTCTGGGTCGCACTGAGATGGCCATGTGGCCTGGAGTCCAGAAGAGAGGGGCTGGAGAGCTGGAGAGCTGGGGTGGAAGTGGACATGCTGGGGGAGGAAGTGAGGCATTGGTGTGAGAGAAAAGGGAACCGTAAATAGAACCTGGGAGAGCCACATATTTGGGAGGATGAACTAGAAATGAAAGTTAGGACCAACTGAGAGGTTAGAAGGAACCTGGACAGTTTAATGACAGAGAAGTAGGTATATGTCCAAGATCTTAAAGACACCTCCCTGTACATTTGCTTTGAAGCCCAAGGAGTATTTCCAACCTGCTCTATGGCCAAGGGAGGGGAAAGGAAACCGAAGCTCTTGCCTTTTGGTGCCCTGTGTTCCCTGGCTCCCCAGAGAGACATGAAATCAACCGTGAACATCAGGGCAGCATCTGGCAGTCTCACCCCTTCCAGGCCATTCCGAGCCTTCTCTCCAATCATTTAAGGACAAAAGGCTTTGTCTTAATCGAAAGTTTCAGTATCTTCCCAGAAATGTCACAGTAGGTAGCAGCCGTGAGTGCTCCGTGCAGGTATGAAGGACATAGCTTCTGTTACTGGCACAGACACAGCTCCTGGCCACCTGGAAAATCTGTCTCCCCTGAGGAAAGGCAGAAGGAACAGGGCTGTGAGTCAGAGCCCCGGGGCCAGCCGGTTGCTCTCCTTTCCCTCTCTGTGCCCTCAACCTGTACATGTGCGAAGTGCGGGCAGGTGGCCATGAAGATCCGGCGGATGGCTTTCCCGGGGGCCCAGGTTGGAGTCTGAGCCTGTCACCCCAGTGGGGGTTCCTTGCCACCCCCTGACACCACCAGCACAGAAGGCGGCAGATGTTCATGGTCTCACTTCAGTACAACAGATTTACAAGCATCCCTTTATGTGTTACTGAAAAATTGGATGTAAATCCTATTTTAAGGATATGGTGGAACTCATTACTTGGAAATCCTTTTGGGAAGTGAATAATAATCACCCTTTGGTAAAATTTGTGTGCCAGTGTTCATGAATTTCCTTGTCTGAGTTCTGTTCACCTGAAGGTCTTTCCCACAATATCCCCTTTGGTTTTGTGACAGTCCTCTTTCCCATGGGACATGTGCCCCTTGCCTGAGCGCATCTCCCTGTCGCTGGCCCTCCCCACCCCTTTGGGGTCTGCCATCACACCCCTTAAGCCTCTTTTTTCCCCAAAATCCTGTGGCCATGGCTTGCTGGTGACCATTTGCCAGCTCCTGCTCTTCTTGAGAAATTCGGGCACAGATGAGTCTCTGGGTACCAGAAATATTTGCCATGTGTGAATGACTGTGGGGGAGTACGTCTGGTGGGTATGGTGGGCAGAATAATGTTCCACCAGAGACATACATGCTCCATCCCTGGAACCTGTGAATATGTTACTTTCACAGCCAAAGGAACTTTGCAGCTGTGGCTCGGGGCAGGACCTGGGGATGGGAGATCACCTGGATTATCCAGGCAGGCTCGTTGCAGTCCCAAGGGTCTGAAGGCAAAGAACCTTTCCGGCTGTGACACCGGGTGGTGTAGCGGTGGAAGAATGGTTACGTAGAGGCAGTGGTGCTGGCTCTGAAGGCGGAGCGTGGGCAGCCTTGTGAAGCTAGAAGCAGCACGGAAGCGGATTCCCCCCACAGCCTCCAGAAAGGCATGCAGCCCTGCCAGCACCTCGATTTTAGCTCAGTGAGGCCCCTGTCAGACTGATAACCTTTAGAACTGCAGAAGAATACGTGCGTGTTGTTTGAAGCCACTAGGTCTGTGCTAAGTGGTTATAGCAGCAAGAGGAAACGAGTGCATAGCAAACACAGTCCATCGGAAAGTCTGACCCTAACCGCGTCTCTTGTGCCTCCTTCACTGTGTCAATGAACTCACCCAAAACTCACCCCTCTCAGGGAGTGGTTTAAGTTACCTGGGGCTGTGTCTTTTGGCTGCTCTGGGCTTCACCCCATCTCCTGTCGCCCATACCTGATGTCCCAGCCAGGCAGCCAAGGTGTGGATGGACAGTAGGGGGCTCACTTCACTCACGGGCAGGGTAAAAGTGCCCAGGGGGAGAGCGAGGGGCTGGTGGTGGGTGCCATACTGAGGGGAGAGCAGGGAGAAGACCCTATCATTTGGGGGGGGGTAAGAAGTGCATCTCCTGGGACCTCCTGGTCCTCTCCACTCCAGTACATTTTAGGAGTGCTTTAAAAAAAAATTGCAGCAACATGTATAACATCAAATGTATCATCTTAACCACTTTTAAGTGCACAGCTCAGTGGTATTGACTATATTCACATTGTTGGGCAACTATCACCACCATCCATCTGCAGAACTCGAAATGCTGTACCCATTAAATAACAACTTTTCATTCTCTGAGCCACTCCCAACCACCCATCTACCTTCTGTCTCTGTGAATGTGACTCTTAAGTACCTTGTGTAAGTGGGCTCATACAATATTTGTCCTTTTGCTTCAGGCTTATTTTACTTGGCATAATGCCCTCAAGATTCATCCACATTGTAGCATGTGTCAGAATTTCTTCCTTTTTAAGGCTGAATACTATTCCTTTGTGTGTCTCTACCACATCTTATTTACCATTCATCATTCATCCCTTGACGTACACTGGGTGGCTTCCCCCTTTTGGCTATCGTGAATAATGATGCTATGAACGTGGTTTACAAATGCCTTTTTGAGTTCCTGCTTTCCGTTCTTTTGGACATATGATACCCAGAAGTGGAATTGCTAGATCATATGGTCATTCTATTTTTAATTTTTTGAGGTACCACCATATTATTTTACATAGCAGCTGTACCATATTACATTCCCATCAACCCATTTTAACCGTTGTTAAGTGTACAGATCAGAGGCATTATATATGTTCACACTGTTGGGCAGCCATTGGCACCATTCATGTCTTTAGGAGCTCTTTGAATTATAGAAAGAGCTCTCTGGGTGTTGAGGAACCATGCTCAGGAGAGTGAGTGGAAACAAAGGTTTATGTTGAGCAAGTGAACCTGTCATTGAAACCCCAAGGAAGTCCAGCCCTTCAGCTGGATTTGCCCACTTTTTCTGAGCCATAGGCATGTTTTAAAATGCAGCTTTCATTTTATACAGCAACTGAATATCTGATAGCAAAAGATTTCCCTGGAGAGAGCTTACCCATGGGGAGGAGGAAAAGGAGGCTGCTCTAATGAATAGATAAGCTTGATTTGTGTTTGGCAACATCCTTCACATTGAATCCCAGCAATTAGAGTAGGCAAGTCTCCTTTGTTTTCTTTTTCCTTGCAAAAACAATAACAAAATAAAATATTATAGAATGTTTGGAAAACAGAAAAAAAAATCCCTACTTATTTTTTTACTACCTTCATGTGACCACCACCACCATACATAACACTTATCTATGCAAGGAAGGGACCAAACATACTATTCATCTTACTTCATTTAAGCTGCCCTGCAGTGGGGTGGGTCCCTGGTTCTGACCCATGGTGTCTCGCTAATGCCCAGCTCTTAGCTCATACATTTATACATTTGGCCCATCTTCCTCCACACCTGTGTCATTTTCTATAAAGTAGCCTTCATGAGGTTCCCAATTGCTTATTTTTCCAAGCGACATAAACTTTCCCTTTCTATTTTTGTTTTCAGTTCTTACCTTGTGCTGACAATCTCTGTTCATAGGAGCGCTACAGAATGATTCTGGACCAGGCTTCAGAGGCCTCGCCATCCACAAATGATCACCAGCAGGGCTTGGCTGTCCTCACAGGGCTACTATGTCAAACCATGCCACTTTCCTGAAGGGCATGGATGTGGTTGGCAGTCCGGTGGGGTAGGTGTCCCTGACAGCCAGGTGAGACCTCAGCTCAAGAGAGGGTTCTGTTCTGGACTGTAGTCGAGAAAGAATTCAAAAGCAAGTCGAGCAGGTGCAAACAAACAGGAGTTTATTAAGGTGAAAGTACACCCTCAAGGAGAGAGTGCGGGCATGCCGGAGAGGTGAGCAGCCTGGCAAGGTTCAGGCTGGGTAGTCTTATAGCTGGAGTTTAAGCAGGGAATGGCATATGCATCCGGAGAGGTGGAGTTTGCTTGGAATGGGGAAGATTAGGGGCTATCCCTCTTTTTGTTCTGATATGGTCAGCCTTGGAACTGTCATGGAGACAAGGGGTGTGGTTTTTAGTATGCTAATGAACTTGTAATGCACTTTAGGGTAACTGTGGGTCACCTTTGTTCCCCAAATAGAAGCTAGCTTAGTTTGCTTTCTGCTTTATCAGCAGCAGCTTTCCCTAGAATCTGTTTCTGTTTAACCTGCTTTGCTACCTGGCCACTCAAACTGTCCTCAAGCTACTAATACCTGTGGTTTCTTGACTCACCCAAGGTCTGTCGCTCTTCCTAAACTACACTGCCTGTGTCACAGAGACTGTGCAAGGTGCAGGCTCTGGGGCCCACCTGCCTGGGTTTGGGATCTGGCCTCTGTCAATTTGACCTTGCAGAAATTACTTAACTGGTCTGTGTGTCAGTTTCCCCATCCATGAAACGGGGATGATAATAGAACCTGCTCCACTGGGCTGTTGTATGGAATTAATGGTATAACATACAGAGCATAGAACACTGCCTGATACAGACTAACATGGTCTTTGTTGTTATTTAGTCATGGATCTCCCACCAGCTCCATGCCCAATCTTGAGCTAGATCCGTATTCTCCCCCGAGCCTCAGTTTCCTCATTTGTAAAGTATTGGGTTGAACCAAAAGACCTTTAAGGGCTCTTCCTGTTCAACATTGTCACCACATTTTCCTTTAATCTTCCCCATGGGTTTAACTGCAGTTGGGGGATGTGGGTGGGACCACAGAAGGACTAACAAACCCTGGTGGGACAGGTGCCACCCCCCACACGGAGGATAACCCTGCCTGGTGGCCAGCCCTGAGAGCAGAAGAGGGGAGAGAATGACTTGCCCTGGGAAACGGGGTGGGGTGAGGAGGCACCACACCCCAGGTTCCCGAGCTGAAAAGTGCTGGGAAGACTTTCCTAGCCTCTGCCTCCTCCCCCACCTGGTCCCAACCTTCCCTCTGGGACCCAGTCGCCCAGATGGTCTAACTGGGAAGAAAAGAGGAAAATCCGTATCCAATCTGCTCTATTCAGAGCAATGGGAAGGAATCTGCATCTCAATTTTATCTTTGTGCTGAGCTTGGCTAAGCTTTGCCCCCCCATGTGGTGAGTGATGGGTGGGTGGGAAGATGGCATTCCCGCCCTGGTTGGGGAGCAAGGGGCGCCCCCCACGCCTTCCCACTCCCCACCAAACCGCAGACGAAATGCATTCTTTCCTGCTCTTGGTTTCCCCTATTTCCTCTTCTTTTCTTTTCCTTCTATTTTTCTCCCCCTTTCCCAGGCAGGCAGCCAAGTGGAGATTTTGAATAGAGGCAAGGGAGGGAGGGGTCGGGAAGGAGCATCAGCAAGCCCCCTTCCCCGAAGGTCCTCCAGGGCTCAAGGGCTGAGCTGAGGCGGAGACCGAAAGGTGCGTCTCCTTCTCTCCCTCCCACCGTGGCCGCTGCCTGTGGGCCTTGTGACTGTCAGCACACTGGGCTGGGGGGTCTGGGCTCTCTCCTGACAGTGGGCAACCTCTGGAATTTCTTTCTCCAGAGCCACTCAGGAAAAACTGGCTCCCAGAACCCAAACTCACTGGAGACAGATTTGCAACAGGAAGTCAGTTTAATAATGTATAGCTAGAAAGTACTCTTCTCCCTGGTCAGCAAGCCAACTCAGGAAAGCAAATCAAACTCCGAATGTTGTTTGAAGAGTGTGTGGAGCTAGGGCTGTGGAAGGCACCCAAGGGAGGGTGTCCAGGGAGGACGGTGGGTAGTGACTCAGGGTGTGGCTTCTGCACCAGTCCCTGGTTTAAATTCTATCTCTTATTAACTGGCACTGGGACCTCAGGCACGTGCCTGAGCCTCTCTAACTTCCGTTTCCTCCTCTTAACTGCAAATGATGATCACAAGGGCATCTCTCAGCTTTCTTGCCAAATTGCCATTAAGACTTGCATGGAAAGAGCTTAGCACAGTGCCTGGCACATTCTGTATGCATAGAAGCAATGTTTATTCAAGACCTCATCTTTGAGGGTTGTAGATTGGCTTTTCCTTTCCGATCACACCCTTTTTATCAACAAAAAGGGAAGGGGACCCTGGCTGCTCTGGAAGACCCCCCTATCAGTCATTTGAGGGGTATCTGCTGCCTCCTTG